ATTTCTTACACAGACACAGATAAGAAATGTTTGTTTGGATAAAATCTACTAATAGATACAGGTTTTATTATAGGACTGACAATGACTCGCTCGAAGATTTAAACAGAACTGTTACTAAATCTGCCGTGGGAAACCAGGCCATAGTGGTAGACAATGACGTCCAATGGTATGACTGGAAGTCATTTTTATCTGCAAACTTTTCAGCAATTCCAGGGATTCGACAATTCCATCATTTTAGATTCAGTGCAATGCAACCAGGAATTGTTTTTGTGAAGGAAAAGTCAACAGATGTTGAGAAACCAATCAAGCTTCTTCGGGACCAGGATGCTAGTTTTTCTGCCACGAATCTACCAATGACTTTTGTAAAAGGTATTAAAATTAGAACTTTCTTTAGATCCTTACACTTGTATTTTACAAAAGGAATATTGATCAGTGCATTTTTTTCTCTTACAGGTGGGCTTTCTGCTGAGAGAAAATTGTATCTATTTAAGCACATCAGACCTTTCGTAAAAGACCACGCAAAGGATCTTACCTGTCCGGCTCCTGATGAGGAATAACGATGAAGAAATTATTGTATGGGCAAAACTAATTATAAGTGCTCTTGTTACAGACGCATGTAGATTAAAATGCTTAAAATAAGAAGTTTCAAAAAGAATCAATATCATTTACGGAATAAAATGTTCATTAAAGGTTCTGATCATTATTGTTTAACTCTGTTTTGTTTTCTGTACTATATGATCATAAAGGCAGAACAATTAAAACTGAATGAATAAAGGGATTTTTTTTTTACAGGAAAGAAATATATTTGCTTTAGTGCATGCACGATTCCAGGAATTTTTCCAAAGTTGTGTGTGTGGGATGGTCCACTCGATTTTTTAAAAATCGAATAGAATATCTTTTTACAACAACAACAACAAAAAACTAACTAATACCCGAGAAAATACTATTTCATGTGTGTCCAGGGTTGGGGGTGAACACCCCCCCCTTTTTTTGTTTTACAATCGACTCACACTCTATAGATCCACATGGAATGTATAGAATTAATTGAAAATAGTAATAAAGTCTTGTTGCTGATTTTTGCAAATGGAAACAATTGTCATTAAAGTGAATGCTAGAAAGGAAATTCGATGCTACGCAACGTTATTTTTCTTCTTCAGTGTGCAACGTTACTTAACGACGGCCGTATAGAGGCGCCTTATTAAAATGCTTGTATAATCCGTAAAAAACGTGACATCTTTAAAACCTTTATATATTTGAACTCAGAAAATGTCAGACTATTAAAATTTACCAAAAAGTCAATTTGTGAAAATTTGACCTTAAGGGCCCTTTTCTCGTGACGGCAGTCATGTATCTTGGTGTAGTGTACTTGTGTGCCAAATTATATTGAAATCAGACCAACATTGTACGAGGAAAAGTATTTTTACAGTATTTCACAGATAATTTTTATATTTTGTAACCAAGGAAACCAAAAACCTATATTTTAAAGAATCATGTATCTAAGTGTTGACTACTTGTGTGCCAAGTTTAATTGAAATCAGACAAAAATTGGATGAGGAAAAACATTTTTTACGTATTTCACAGAAATTTCTATTTTTAGAAACCAAGGCAACATCATTCATTGAAAGCAAAAACCGATAAACAGAATTATGTACCTAAGTGTAGTCTAGATGTGTGCCATATTGAAATTCATTATTAACTAAACCTATAATGCAAAATATGTACAATTACCACGGCATCATGTGATTTTTAATATCAAACATTAAAACTATAATCCAGAAAATTCAGAATAAAAATGTCGAAAGTAAAACACACACGCAGTATACTGTCAGTCCGTGCAGTTGTGGTGAGCAATACTCAATTGAACACACCCGGTGAATCGTAAACCTTCACAATAACAGATTTCGTGCCTTTTTAAAAAAAATCTACAGTAACCGAGGAATATTTTGGAATATTTCTTCAATTTGCTGCTTTAACTGTCAACTGGCTCTGTCAGGGTTGGCCGGGAAATTTACGGATGGTGGGAATTACTAGTGGTAAATAACGGTAAATTCCAGTCCCGGTAAATACTGTAAAATGTATCAAAACTGGGAAACACTTGGAATTGAAGAATTTATTTCTTTTCATTCATTTAATCTAATACAAATTCAAAAATAAAATGAACAAAGAAACATAAGATTAATTAAATTCCTCTATAAACACCGCAGATACATGCATTACAATCAGTTACGACGTTTTAACAAATTTACTCTGGACAGTTTTGTATTCCAGTTTGAGAGATATAATAACCTTGAGTAGAACTGAAAGACTTCTTCTTAGGTTTGGTATTTACACTATATTCTACACTTCTTTAGATACTTCTTCATACCATAAATCAACGTAAAATGAATACCTATATGGACCGATAAACGTGTAAACCATTTTATGATTATTTAAAATGAAACATTAGAAAATCAATTTTGTTTAAGCAAGAACAGTGATACATGTGCAACGTTATTATCTTATCTAAGACATTAATGTGTACTGTAAACCAACTTTTATTCGCGTGCGAGAAATATTAGCGAGTTTTGTGACTGCCTTAAACTCGCGAATATTAATCGCCGCGAATCAATAATTTTGCGTAGTATTTGTAGGGAATTTTTTCCTCGGTCGCCAAAATTAGTCTTCGCGGTTTGATTTCAAACGAACGAATCGCGAAAAAAAGAAGACGCGAATAATAGTTGGTTTACAGTATTTTATGTTTTTAGCCAAGCAAGATGATTAAATATATAAATATGTAGCATGTCTTGCCTCCCAGTATTTCCCGGGAAATACCTATAGAATTCCTGGGAATAAGCAGTACTTCAAACCGTCGTGAGAAATAGGAGTATTTCCCGTTTTTTGCCAACCCAAGGCTGTAAAGTTTCCTAACTCCATGAGTTTAAATTCTTGGTAAAGTATTTCATTAATTTTTTCCATGATAGTTTTCAGTTTCAGTTCTAAGCTGATAAGAAAGCAAAAATATTTTTTTTCAATTTATCCTCCTAGCTGACTTCTCCTCTTGTCTAACATGACTTAAAATAATTGTTCAAATTGTCTTTAAAGTTGTCTTCTTGTGACAGATGTTGCAGTTGCTTACGTTTAGCAACATTCGAGTACGATGTAATTGTATCTCTATCTCTGACGTCTTCATATGAGTGAAAAATTCTCAAGAGGGACGTTAAACAATATACAATCAATCGATCAATCAATCTAGAAACTCTGACTTTCAAATAGTTGTGTTTCAGGAGGCATTTCTAAATGTTTATATCTATTTATTCACAAATAAATGTGAATTGGATTGGGCAGCAGGCAAAGTCTATTTAATCCCTCTCTGAGCAATGTAACTAAACAAATATCTATAAAACAGTTGTTCTAGATGAGATTTCCACAAGAGAAGGAAATGGCATTGGTACAACTACTGACTCGATGAATTTCAAAACCTATATTATACTTTCTATTGACAGTTTTATAAAATATTTTTTTATGGAATAGCATATTATGTAATAACATAATTATTCCTCCGTTTCTATTTTCATGATAAAAAAATTAACAAGAGGCCCATGGGCCTTATAGGTCACCTGGATATCATGCAACAACTTTTCAGTAATTGAATTTGCTTTATTTTTTAAGCCTGGTGCTATGGCATTCACAATTTTGAAAGAGGCACCATTATATTAATCATCATAACTATACACTTAGCAATTGCTTTGTTTGGTTACTTAATACCAATAGGCAGGGTAGGGGAACAAAAACTTCATTTCAACCTAATCTGTAATATTCAGCAATAATCAGTAGTCACCTTCCACACATAAACCCCTGACCCTAGGTCTACACATTGCACAATTTTTGAAAAAGCACCCTTGCTGACCCTGGGGCTTTGGAATTGGAATTCACAATTCTGGAAGATTAAGGTCCTTGCTCATCATAACTATATAGTTAGTTCATCTGCTTAATACCCAGAAGCAGAGAAGAAAATTTTCAAAGAATTAATGTTTTTTCGCCATATAATCAATAGAGTCCCACCATAACACGAGAACCCCTGGCCCTGGGGACATAAAATTCACAATTTTAGTAGAAGCACTCTTGCTTATCATAACTATTTTCATAGTTAGTTAATTTAGTACCCAGAAGCAAAGAAGAAGATCTTTAAAGAATTAATGCATTTTCACTAAATAATCAGAAGAGCCCTGCCCTTAAACTTGAAACCTTGACCCTGGGGCCCTAAAATTCACAATTCTAGTAGAGGCACTCTTGCTCATCACTAATATGTACTTAGTTTATTTAATGCCCAAGAGCAGAGAAAATGTTTTAAGAATTAATGTATTTTCACTATATAATCAATAGAGCCCTGCCCTAACATTAGAATCCTGACCCTGGGGCCAATAAATTCACAATTCTGGTAGAGGCATACTTGCTTATTATAACTATGTACATAGTTTGTTTATTTGATACCCAGAAGCAGAGAAGAAGATTTTCAAAGAATTCATGCATTTTCACCATATAATCAATAGAGTCTCGCCCTAAAACTAGAACCCAAGACCCTGGGGTCATAAAATTTACAATTGTGGTAGAGGCACTCTTGCTTATCATAAATAAGTACTTAGTAACTGTAAGATCACATCTTTTCGTGGGGTCAAACTTTCGTGGTTTGAGAAAAAAAAGTTAGTTCGTTGGGTTCGATTTCGTGGGTGAAGTAGTTTTTAGAAGTTGTGCATATGAAAATTTACATTTCGTGGTGGTCATAAATTCGTGAGTCTCTTCATACCCCGAAAACAACGAAAGATTAACCCCCACGAAAATTAGTGATTTCACAGTAGTTTATTATATTCCAAGAGTAGAGAAAAAGGTTTTCAAAGAATTAATGTATTTTTACTACATAAACAATAAAGCCCCGTCCTAACACTAGAACCCGTGACCCAAGGGCCATGAATTTCATAATTTTGGTAGAGGACTCAATGTTGATTACAATCATGCAAACAGTTTGACTACTTGATGTTCAGGAGTAAAGAAGAAGATTTTTAAATATTGCATTAATTTTACTGGTTTTGGCCCCACCCCTCAGACCCCAGGGGGACAATGAACATGAAATTCACAAGTGTTGTTCCCCTTTACTCATAGATGCTTTATACCAAATTTGGTTGAAAATGGTTAAGTGGTTGCAGAAAAAGCTGAAAATGTGCAAATATTAACGCACAACGCACAACGACGGACGAAAATGGATAGCAATAGGTCATTACTCAGGTGACCTACAAAGCAAATTAGCACATTTTAATGAATTTATAAGCAGATATTTTAAGCAAAAAAGCTATTCATCTGATGTATGGGCCTGGATTAAATTTCAAATACATGTAACACAAAATATGTCGAAAAAAGACCTGAAAAATCTTTAATAAAGCTAAATTACTACAGTGTGAAAACTGAAATTGTGGCACTTTTTCTTCATAATATATATATTTGAACAATACCGTATACACTAAATTGACATTTCTAGCATGTTTGTGACTATATACATATATAATTTGAGTTTGTTGCTAGAATGCTTTTAATCAGAAATAGGCAAATTTAAAAGGTATATTTACATTGTATTAGCTCAACTTACTTGAATCTTTTAGGCCTTAATATATTTACACATCATAATGTTTTTAAATGTTCAACTTCTATTTCCAATTGACATCATTTGAGAAAAAAGTTCAATTTCAATGACATCATTTTTTAAAAGCATGTACATCGTAAATTTAAATTGCCTTGTTTTCCTATATGATGATTGATAATCAACAAAATTAATAATATTATATTGTTAAAGATCACTTTGATTGTACACAAAGTCCTCCAAAATTGGTATTAGTTGATATAAAAATAGATTGGAGTTCCTTTTTTGACGTCATTTCTGCAGCCTTGGAAATCAGGTCTTGTTTTCCTTGAAAGATGACTTTCATCAAAGATTTTGTCATCCATGGAACCTTGAATTATCAAAATTGCACCGAGTAAGCCTTCACAACATTTTTTTAAGCCTTGTATTTTGTATTATTTTCAGTTTGACATAAAAAATAGCTAATTATTGCGATGAACTATAGTTGTCAGTAAGGTTCGTGGACAACATTGATAATTGTTGACAAATAATGATAAAATATATGACACTATTGTTTTCTTTAATTTCAGGCTTTTTTTTAAAATATGCATTTTCAGAATCTAACTTAATAAATTTCCTATGTCGCTTAACCAGTTATCAAAATTTCTAACAAACTGATCAGGTTTTGTGCATAAAATAATATTTATAGCTTCCTGTCTCGGATCCTGCAAATCATCAAACAACTGTCTGCGTAGAAAAGACTAAGCTACTGTACGGAAACACCAGCTAAGTCACGTCACTAAATTCAATTTTACAGCACTATTATCTCGGATTGATGGTCTTTACGCATATCATTTTGTAAACTTTCGCTCCCTCTGAAAATATATGACACTAACTATCTTAAAAACTGACTTCTTTTCCTTTATTTTCCAAATATTTACAGAATTTATAAATCTCTAATGATGTTTTTCTGATGTTTGCGCAAACATTATAACTGCTCTCTGCTCCACCCTTTTCGAACTATGCCGACCATGTCTTACTGGATTCTAAACTCGAATTCTCAACCATTTCGAAATTTGAATTTTTCAGGTTTGATCTTATAACTTTTGTCAACTTTATTATGTAAAAGGCAAATAAATTTCCGTGGAATTTTACAAAATACATATGAAATTTATGTATTGAAAATTCAATCTTAAAAAAACTTTTGCGGTGCTCCGGGTCACCAGTTTGCAGTGTTTGTAATTATAGATTTGAAATTGAAAATAATTTTACATTTTGTAATTTATATTTAGGAAAGGATTATAAATAAACTAGTAAGAAATATCAATGACACAGCTTAATGAAAATTTCTCTTGTCCACGAACTTTTCGGACAACCCTCATAAATAAACTTTTCATAGACCTGTGTAATACCAAAAAATATCGAATTAGAACATTTTGATTTTTGACTATTGTTTTTGATACTCACTTTGCTATGTTCTTCCTTCCAACACATTCATCATTTTTTGTTTCAGCATTCCGTTGCTCAACCTCAGAATCGCCTAGGTACATAAATAGTTAAATTCAATAAAATCAAATCATTTGAAGAATCAATGCTATTTTTCTGTCAAAATTGTCATATGTAATGTAAATAACGGAACCTAAATTAAAACAACCAAAACTAAATAAAAAAGATTTAATAACGATAAAAACAATATTATCAAAGAATGCTACCGAAAATCCGAATTGTGAGAAAAGCAAACAAAACATCTGACTAAAGGTAAAAGGCAGCATTTGAATAATAGAGAAGATGTAACAAACTAGAATAATGTTTGAGGAAATTGCATGCCTGTAAGAAATCTTTAAGGTATTCATTGATAAGTGAGAATCATCATTGACAAACATATTCACAGTTTCTGATCTTGAGCAATCACATATAGGAGGTAAAAATAATACATTATTGATAAAAAAATTATGCTACTGCAAAAATTGTAAATTTCAAGTGATAAAGAATCACGTTTTAATAGGTGGGTATTTGGGTCAGACAGTGTGAAATGTGTAGTGAAAGCTTTTTGAGAAAGAAACTCATGATGTTACGTCTTTTTCATTAAAAGTTAAGTTTTTAAGTGGATAAAAAAATGGCTGATTAAAATGTTATATAGCAGGAACCTTATAAATCACATTGAATGAAACACAGGCATTTACATATGATGTGCTCATTTTAAATTTCAGGAAATGAGTATAGCAAAGATTGACATGAAAATTTACGAACAACCGTCGCATGAGAACCTTGAAACGAGAATAAAGCACAGATTATAATGGGATATCTCAAATGATAATTTTACCTGCATGAGATCTCGTGCTTTCTTCTCTAGTTCCTTCTTTTCTAATTTACTTGTTGCTTCCGTTGCATGTCCAATTTCATTTCTGTAAATCCGGATCCTTTCTACGTCATCAGTCAATCTTGTATCGGATGTATCCGGAGTCCTTCCCCAACCTTTAGTCGGGGCTTGAAGACTTGGATCACGATTACGTAACATCGTGTACATCATCGTCACATCAAACTTTTCTGAGGAAGGAGTAGACCTATCAGCTAAAAAGGAATGAGGGTTATTTGTAAATTGATTTAAGCAATTCATACAAAATTTGAACTATAATTCTTTAGATAACATGATACATCAAACGTAAAAACATAATTTTCTTTATATTTATTATATGGTTACAAAACTTTACTTTTTTGATAATATTGTCGATCTTTACCTTTGGATTCATATAGAAACGCAAGTAAATCTATTTGAAAAGCATTTATCTATCTTGTATTGAATTAAGAATTGTTTGAATTTGATAATATTTTATATTATCGTGTCTATATATTGAAAATATTTTAGATACAATGCAATTAATAGATTAAAACGTGTATTCCTTCCAAAGGAATGATCCACATAAAGCCAACGTTACGAAATAACTTAAAACAATTTTGTAAATATTTCTTTTTACTTTAATTGATTCAATTATATTTTTCTAAGGGCATACAATATTTATAATTAAACTTAACGTATTATTTTAAATTGATTATAGTGTTTAAAAATAGTCTTATCAAAATTATTTTCTAAACATACCAAATTACAATTGAAGCCGTCTCTAAGAATCCGTAACTAGAGAGATGCATTGAAGAGGGAAGGTAACTATTTTTTCTTCTAATAGAATACAACATTGTCGTGATTAATTTATGATGCAGCAGAACGGTAGAGGATGGGGCTATAATAAAAAGTTACGTTTTAAGAAAAAAGGTCGGGGTTACCCTCATCTTAAAGAATACTCCTAGCAAAGTGAAGTCAACACATTAGTTTAAACAGTTTCTGTATAAATGTTCTCCTTTTAGTTTCAAAGTGAATATGATCCGTGTGCAAAATCAATCCTTAATGGTAAAGGACAGGATAGGCTAAGACCCCTTGTTGGTCCCTGGTTTGGGGTGTCTTTTAGAACAATGCAACAATTTATCAATAGAAACATGTTGATACATCTCCCATAAAATAAGAATTGGTTCTGAGTAATTTAATACACATAGGTCACAGGAGGTTAATAGAATAAGCCAATTTCTAATTTTTTCCCATTTTTATTCATCGATATTACAGCACATTTTTTTCAGAAAACGTGGAACTCAAGCTTGCCAATCAACAAAATTGATATATTTCATGCACTTGTATCAGATGCATCTTATGTTTCAAAATCTCAGATAGGCAAGCGAGCTAAAAAAGCGTAATAAAAAAAATTGACGAAATTTCACAAGAAATCAGGAAAGAATGAGTGCACTTAAGCTATGAGATTTGGATCCCGATGTTTTGCACAAAATAAAATTCCAAAATTCATTAAATTTATGTTTTATAGGTATTAAACAATATCTTAAGAGCAGGTTTTGGTATATTATATTACATGAAAGTATCAAATAATGCAGAGCGAAACTAGCTTTTGAGACGGGGGTCTAACAGTTTTGTCTCATTTCTATTGTTATTCATATGCATACCAGTTTTCAACGACTTTGTTTACATCGAGCCGCAACTTGGCCATTTTTCTTATTTGCACAGAATATGTATTTTAACTTAAACTTATACATATCCAAAGGACAATGTTGGCCAAGTTGCGGCTCATATCTAATTTTCAAAAAAATGTCCCCAAAGTAGGGTCGAGATAGCTAGTAAATTAACCGGTCACTGAGCAACAACGATTAATATTATAATCACCTTTCTCACGTGACCTTCTGCTGTTCGATACGCTAACGCTTTCATTGAAAATTTCATTGTGTTTAAGGCTCTGTTGTGACATTATCTTTCGTACTTCCAACTTCAAACTATGGGAGATTTTTGCGCAAATTTTAATAGGGTTTGAAGATAATGTGTCTCTTATTTACATGTAATATTATGCTTTTCATTAGGGGTGTTTTGAAAGAATTCTGGTATTGACAGTGTCATTAGTAAGTACATGTATAGGCTTATGTCGCCTTTGTATTACGGTCTGCCGAGCGAGACATCTATCCCATCCCTTAACATTAGAATCATTTAATAATTGTGCACCATAAAATCAAGACGATCTCTCTCTCTTTCTCTCTTCTCCGATTCAATTTGTAGTGCGAAAAAAGTCATATGTGCTAATGTTTACATTCCACAACCACGCGGTTTAAATGTCTCCGCCTATTTGTGAATACCTTATATTCGAAAGTGGTCCCGTCCAAATTTCCGGAATTTGAGGCTTTTACATGTTCTTTTTAATTACATTTTCTGTAATTATAGAAATATGTTTGACAAAAAATTCTAGAAATAAATATCAAAAGCATATACTTGCACATTAATCATAGATTAATTTAGCGATATATTGTAATGTTAAGCTTAGAATGGGTAGCCGAAAAGGTTCCAAATGGCGTACTTAAGTGCACTCATTCTTTGGATAAATGTCCTATTTTGGCAGCCTCTTTTGACCTCCGTGTAAGCTATAACACTAGTGCTGGTTTTAAAACAAGCATCGTATTAAGAGATACAAACTGTCAACATTTTAACTGTGTTATAATTTTAACGTCAAATACAGGGCAAAATTTAGTCGTTACCACAGCTGCCCCTCAATATACATCTTAACTTAAACTGGTGAGATTTTGAAACATCTTTAGAAGTTCTTATACATGTAAATCTGCAATGATATAAATAAAAAGAGCAGTAATTGTTTTTT